GTCGGTTAGGTTTCACAGAAGTGGAGAATGAACACCTCCCTAGGGGCAAAGAACGTAGATAACAAGAAGGGACAACTCGTTATAATTGTGGCGAAAGTGCGCAACAGGGGCGTGCCTTCTCTTTTCATCCAATCAAAAAACGCACTAGGGCAAAAGAGAAGGCACGCCCCTGTTGCGCACTTTCGCTACAATTATAACGAGTTGTCCCTTCTTGTTATCAATGTTCTTTGCTAGGGGTACCCCTTGTCACTAGCCTCGACATTTCGCATGCTCCCAGCCTTGCTTTCACTACTCTATACCAGAGTAGCTGACCGATAAACTTCCGTTCCCACGATAGTCGGGTCTACGTAACCGGAACGACCCAGATTTATATCTGGCCAAGGACTGTCACTCCAGCAACATTCACAAAAACTCTTTGGGAAATCTGTATGCTATTACAACAACAACAACAACCGACAAACTCCACCGGGGAATTATCCATCCTTAGAAAGCTTGCAGTGTCAGTTATAGCCTCGTTGTTGAATGCGACTTCAAAATTCAGGAAAGCAACGACACAGAACGAGATTTCTCTATATAAGCGACCAAACTATGAAGTGAGATCTCCCTAGGTGGATTTACCTTTTCGGTATGCATGTTGGTTATCTTACAGTAGTCGGCTGTCGATTGTGTCAGCAAGGAAGGTGCTAACAATCCTTCGAAGTGTTCTAAGAGCATAGAACGAAAGACTTATAGAACTGAGGTCCTTAAGATTAATTTGTGAGGCTTATCCGCTTTAATTACCACCATGAATGAGCTTATTTCGAATTACCGTCAACCGCCTTACGATTGTTTTTCTACGAAAAGCCTTTTAGAAGTAATTTTGAAAATCATCGTCACTCATTTGGAAAGTACGTCAAATCGTAGCTTAAGCTAAAGTTAATCTCAATGCCTAATGCCAATTGGGTTAACACTTAATATTGCCTTAATTCAAATCAGTGTATACTTATAAACACATACATACATACATATACATATGTAATTAAAAACCCAATAACTATTAAGCGCTAGCGCTCCTTAATCCAGCAGCTTCACAATAAGGCTATTTCTGAAAATACACCAATACAAGCTGTTTAAATTTTACGGCAAAAATTGTTTACGGTATAATGCAATAATAATAAAATATTAATGCAAACAATTGCTGAAAGCGAACTGCCGCGCACAATAACAGCTGAAAATTCGCTATGGAAAACCAACGAGTCAATAACTCAACTTGGCATTCAATACATACTAACATCAACTATAAGGAATGTGTGAACATGAGAAGATTACCTTTTTTCTGAAAAATCTACACTCATTTATTAAAGTTTATTGCATACATGTATGTACATAAAAATATCGATATGTGTTGATTGCTCCCTTTTCGATTTGTAATTTTAATACTACGTATAATTATATAGTAGACTCTTAGCGTTGCAACAATCTGCAGTGTAAGAGTGTATGAACTGTTAAATTTATATGTTCGCACACATTTATAAATATTTAATTGTACTGCTAAAAATTAGATTTATTCGTTTAGTTCATTTATAATACCAGTAGTTAATTATTAACGTACCATCCCATCGCCTGGTATTCTATTTATTTATTTTCTAATAATAAAAACCTGTATCACTGCCAATTTCACACAATTCGTGTGCACTTTTCGGTAATTTTCGAGAATTCTTTTCTGGAAAAAATATAATAATAACCATAATCGGTTTGCAGTAGCCAATTAGTTAAGGACGTTCAACAGAAATAATTTAAATAATAAAAGTGATAGCCATAAGTGCCTAATCATTGCAGGCATTATAATAATGTAAATAAAGCAAAATTGGAAATTAATACTCAAAGCAATCGAATAGCCTACATATAAAATACAATTTCGTTTATTGAAGCAGCAACACCGCTGCAGCTGTACTTTAATAATACGAATATCCACAACTTCCACTTGCTTGCATCAGAAGACACATACATAGCATGAATTGGCAAAAAGGTGAACGCATCACATAGAATTGACATTGTGGGAGTCGCTACAGTCAACTAGTTTCTACAAGAAGTGAATTTTTTATAAGCTATCATTAATTCTAATAAATACAGGCATATATGTATATAAAATAGTATTAAGCGCACTTGGTCTAAATGTTTTTAATGGCATTGGTTTCACCACTTTTCATGCCAAACTTATCGAGCTTTGTTTGCTATCTTCGAATTATATCGCACAACAGCCCATTCGTTTATACAATATGTTTTCGCCTTCTTTCCCAAATTAATCGTCTTAACCTGAGCCATTGTCCATTGCGCTTCTCCCCACCCGCGCATCTCATCTCACATCATTCAACACCAACGTGGTTGTGTAGGTTTGCGATTGCACTGCCTTAACGACAGTTGTCTTCTGCGTCACATGCTGTGTACCATTGACATTGATCTCCTCGCTGCTGCTCATCAATACACCCATCTTATTGTTGACAATAATGCCATCGCTGTCGGTGTCGTGTGCTTGTACTGGCGCAACTTCATCACAACCTATTGTCGTAACTTGTACATCGGACCTGGAGAGTCGCGGTGAATATGCACGTCGCGTTGGTGAGCGTGCACCACTGGTGGACGCTATTTCATCGTCACTATAGTCGTCCGTGGCGCTGCTTACTGCACTGCGGTTCGAACTGAGGTAGGAACGCTGTGGCGCCAGTTGAGTGCGTATACCCCTCGAAGCAGAGTTGCGATACATGCCACCCGTTGTGGATGACGTAGCGGTGATGTCTTCCTCGGAAATGTCATCAAAAGCAGGTGGCGGCGTCGATGAGCCAGACAACAAAGGCGGACGTGTGTGCGAGGCTAAATTCTGTGATGGCGTTCGTTGTGGTGTGCGTAGCGTTGTCGAAGTCTTTCGCTTAGACGGGGAATGTTTCAGCGGAAAGGTTGGCGTCTTCTTAAATACAGTTTTGCTCATGAAATTCTGAAAACGCTGCGCATAGAAAGATGGACGACACACCGATACAGTGTCGCCATTGTAGATGATGCTCTTGAACGTGTGCTCGAGTTTCTTCTCTAAGCGATATGATTGTAAAATGTCGATTATACCTATGTATAATATGAGGCGCTCATCATTTTCAGAGCGCGCTGGTATACCGCCAGCTGGCACATCTTCGTCCTCCTCCATGGGTATATCCATGTCGGCGGTGATTGACTCCAGTGCGGTCGAATGCGCCACCAGTCGTTGACGATTCATGCTTCGCGAGCGATTCAGTGCGGTGCCAGCCGACTGCAATGCTGTGTTCGAGCCAGCATTCATCGTTTGATCAAAATCGGGGGGATCCTGTGTCTCTCGTACTTCGTCCGATCGTTGCAACTTGGCACGTGCATTACGTATCCGCTCTTCACGTTTCTCCTTTTGTGCTAAATCCAGATTATGGATGCCTACCAGCAGCGAGTAATCCATTATTTGGAAACTCTCCAGCACCATACAGTCCCGTTGAATTGTCTTTATTAGCGCATTATATTTGTCAGTTTCAAGAAAAATACCATTCGGATGGTGATCCATGAAGTCAAGGTCCTTAAACGTAGGACTAGCCTTCTGGCGTTCAGCTTTCGAAGCCTTACGACGAAAGGTGGAGCCCTTTAGATCATATTTGGCATGCATTTTAATGTCGGATGGCAGCAAATTATTCATTGCTACAAGGCGTACATTCTTTGCATTGTAATGAAAACAATAGAGTCCGAAAAATTTTGGCAGTAAAGTGCGTGGATTCTGCGAGAGATTCATGTAGTAGCCTGGCAGCAATTTTTGTAAGAACTCGCACTCCTTTTTTTGCACTGTCTTTATTATGAATTCGTCATCATCGGTCAAGTAAAAGATCGAGCCGGACGCGCCAGGATTGGAAAGCTGGCGCAAAGGCGATGCACACATCGACATCAAAAAGTCATCGGGCGCTATACCGAATAAATCGCGAAAATAACGAAAAGCGATAGGCGCGTACACTTTAAAACGAAATTCACTATAGTGATGCGCTGGTGTTATCGAGGAACCGTCTGGCGGAAAAGCAATAGTTTCCATTTCCCAAAAGTCTTTCATTAGCAGGTCGCGTTTAGGTTTGCTCGCCAAACTGCCGACCGTATGTTGAATGCCGAGTTGGATGGAACCCATTATTTGTTTGGATTGTATACGTTTGTATGTTACCTCGCCGCCTTCGTCAACGCGCCGGTGCCCAATTTTCTTCTCGTGCTTGCCGGCGGACGATGGATTACGCGAAACACTCGCATCCAGTGTGCTACTTGCGCTACGCAGACGCTGCTGCTGTGCGGCATTTACTGCCATTTCGGCATGCATTAGACGGGTTGATTCGTCGCCACCATGCGCCGCTGCCGCTTCGCTATAATAGCTTCGAGATGTAGACGGAACAGCAGGCACTATACTATTTTCGGCATTTTTGCTCTGGTGGACGTCCAGTAATTGCGAGAAAGTTGCGTCGGCGGAAACTTTATTTTCTGGACTGACAGAAGGTGCTATGGTGACGGCATTGACGACAAGGGGTGGTGGTGGTGTTGAGGGTTTCGAAGACGAGGGGGTAACAACTTCAGCGGTGTTATCTGCGTGCTGAGTGGCTTGTTGATTCACCGCTGACATTTCAATGGAGTCAGCTGCCTCACCAGTCGCCATGATGGGAATGTGCTTGAGTTAATAACACTAAACCAGAAAGAGGCGCGAGTAGCTGGTATCTGCAAGTGGCAGAGCGTCAACAGGAAGTCTGGAATTTCGGAAAATAAATACAAAATTGGCAAATCCACTTTTCAATAAATTTAAAAGCAGACAAAAAGTTGCAACATTTAAAATATATTAGGTAGTAATTTTTTTCACTACACTGTTATGCACGAATCAAATTTGACTCTTTTATGTTTCGAATTAGCACGGAAATCAGTACTAAAAAATTCGGCCTCCTTTACAGTCGCTTCTACTGACCCAGAGGAATAGCTTTAGAACGCGTTTCTAGCAGAAAAGTCACGTAGGTTGCCAAGCGCCATAAGCGCGTAAATATATGTACATAAGTAGGTGCAGTAGTAACTGCCGCAGCGTATTGAAACCACACGGGCAATCATATTTTGTGCATTTCTCTTTCGATTCTTTATTATTGAAATGAGTCGAATATAAAATAATTAAAAAAAAAATATTTTTATATAAAAAACGAAATTCAACAGCAAATTGAAATGTCAGACGCGTACAAGTGCAGCGTCGTTGCACCGTTTATGGGCGCATACCAAGGTGTGGTCGCATCATACGCGTACACCCACTGCAGTAACTGCCTATTGGACGAGCAGCTGTATGAATTCACAATGGAAATCGGGAATGTGTCACTATAGATAATAAAAACTAATAAATGAAGCAGAAAAAAACGTGAATACATGCCTTAGTACTCATACGGGCGCAATTGCGCTTAACATTACTCATAATTGCCGACGTAAACAGACGTACATATGCATGAATAAGATTGCATACATACGACACTATTTAATCCATCTTAAAAAATGCGTTCAGTTGTTATTGGGCCTGTTTCTCCAAAGTAAAATCTCTAAACAACAACCTCGAAAAAAATTCAAAAGGGGTTCACTGTGCAGTGAAATTTAAGAGAAAGTGTAGGTCAAACCAGTTTTACTTTAGACTTTGCTCGCACAATACTGCTAGCTCTTTAGTTATGTATACACTTAATTTTTAATTGAACAAGTTTTTAGGTAAACAAAACTACAAATTTTCATGAATCGTTTGCCGACTGTATGTATGTTTTTTGAAGAAATAAAAAGAACTTAAGAAGTGAATGAGGCAGCCGTTTTTGTTAAAAACTTCAGAAGATTTAGGCGTACTACTAGTGATTTCTGAGGGGGTTCTCCAACATGTATAAGACTTAGCGCCAGACGTGAGCAATGAAGTGTGAAAAATTCGAAATGCTAAAGTTATCTCAAATGCGGTAGCAATAATGGTTTATGACTGCAATACATATTTACTACAGGTGTGAAAAAATACAGATACAAAATACTTTACAGGCATACTCGTCAAAACTTTTTACCGTATTTTTTGGAGGGTGATGTATATATGTGTGTACATATATATACACGTATTTTGAAACATTAATTTGAAATATGGCTGCAAAAGCAAACAACACCAACAATATGTTTATTGGCCAGCGTTCGCCCAATATTCACGATTGAGTCGAAAGCTATTTTTACATACACTTGGCAAACAAAACGATCAAAGTAAAGCGGATAGCATCTACATGTGTACATATGTATTAAGATTTACTGCGAATGGAATGGAGAAAATTCCGATACCTAGATGGTATATTATATAAAAATTATATTAAATAAATGAATATACCTGCAATGTGGTCTACAAATAGACATTTATGTAATATATGTCTATCATGCTCAGTATGCAGGAAAAATTAATTGCAGCCAATTAGCGTAGATGCGCATGTGTGCATTGCGTACCAACAAGCATTAAGTTTAGTAAATACTTAGTGCATTTAGGTACAATGAAAATTCTTATCAGCTTAGCATTGAGCGCGGCGTAGATAATTATGTACCTAAATTTGTCAAACTGAGTACAATTTTGTTTTACATATCTAGATACTTCCTAGTTTAGTTATCAGAGTATCTATTATATTTTCGATGCCCAAGAGGGTAATTTTATTTGCAACATACGCCCGCATAAACATCTGAACTTTGCTGCATCGGGATATTAGTATATGGACTTTCGTCACTTTTGCATACAATTTAAAACTAATTTTGTTGAAAAGCTTGTAAAAACCTTGCTTTTTGTGCGCTCTTCATTGAGTCACCGGTTTTTTTTGCGCTCTCGGTTAACCCGTTTTGAGTAGCAAAAAAAGCGGAGTAAAGTGGCATTGGAAGCATGTCGTCATTCTATCGTAGTTTTGTATGGAATTTGCGTTTATTCACCTTGAATAGCGCATAAGCTAATAAGTACTAAGCACAATAAGTGCGAACAGCTGGCAGGCTCTTAATCGCAGCCAAATCAATCCAATTGCAGTTTATCTTGCCGCTAAGGACTTAGAGGAATTTTTATTAAACACTTCTTGTAAATATGAATTAATATTGCAACTTTTTGTTTTTTTTTGTTTTTTTACCTACTTACAAACGATTAATGCACACAGTGAATGTGACAGAAAATTTCGTGATCGACGTAACAGATGATCCAAAAAAATACGCCTACAAATGAGCCAAGCATTCAGCACATTCAGTAATGGTTCCAAAACAACAAGTGGCACAGCTTTTATATTCTTAATTATTTATTTCCAATTGCTCCATTAGCAAAGAATTGCAAGGAAATTCTCGGCATATTACGCGTATCACCAGCTGCTTTGATACGTACATATATACAAAGCGATTTCGTATGCCGTTGAACTCCAGTATTAACATATTATTTCTTCTTGCCACATATTTATTATTTTCACATTAATTTTTATTAGAAAAAAACTAATTGAAAATGCCAGCCACCTGCCTTGTTTAACAAATTTTCTCCGTAAAAAACACGTCCAACACCTATCGACTGCTTATTTTTTCCAAAGTCGTTTGCGTTGCTGAATTTTCATTGAAATGTCAACGCAATTGGACCGCTCCGAAGGAGTGACTGAAATGGCATTCTAAATATGACGGCAAATTGACGTCGTTTTGAAAGCAAAACGGTGTGCGAATGAAAGAGCCAACACTAGCTGCAAGCCGCAGTGACTCATATCCAATGACTCTCGCTACGAGCGGCCTCTTCTGGTGACAACATGTGATCAGCAATGTGGCATTGCCAGTCGGAGTGGTTAGTTTTGCTTTAAATTTGTTAAGCCAATAAGTAGAATTTATAGTTTTTTCGTTAGCCGTAGATGCGGAAACTAATAATAATTACATATATATGTATGTAAGTGGGTGCGTATGCTTGCAATGTATGTATGTATACTAATTTTAAGTGCAGTTATTTTTCTCATTTTTTATTTCACCTCAGTACTGTTATCAATTTTTCTTTTTTTTTGGCAGCACTTCGGTAAGTTAATTAACGAAACTTCCGTTATCATATTTTCTGCTGTCAAATTGACTGCATCCTTTACCGGCCATTGTTTTTTTTTTTTAATCTAGCAATTTCCTTACCGTGCCACGGTCAGAAAAAAATTGTGCTTCTTGCTTGTGCTTCTTTGTTTTTTTCAAAGTTTAGTTTTTGATGTAGAATGGCAGGTATGTAATACGAAACTGCATCGATTTTTCATCTCCTGAAGATTTAAAAAAAAAATGGACTTGGCACCTTTTCACCCTTAGGTGAGGATATGCATCCTCCAATTTAATTACGAAAGAGAGAATAACTCAAGTGGTACGGTAAGTACCATTTCCCAACTGGTGTATCCAATTGTAGCTGTTTTTGTTTTTCTTTTTCAGAAAGCGTGTAGAATTCGTGAAAGAAAAAAAGGTAATTAGAAAATAAGAAGGTGGCGAATGGCCTTTCTAAAAATTTCTTGCGATATTGATGTAATTAGCAGTAGCGATTTGCCTCTCTTGTTGTTGTTGTTGTGGTCTAATGGCTCGATGACCATAAATAATACCTGCTGTTGTGCTATGCAACTACTTAGAATGTACTTACTTTCAACTTAAGACACAACAGAGCCACTCTCCACCGCCATGACTGCAATGAATTGTGTGACAATGCGAACGACGACCGACCGACAGCGCTATGAGGGAATATTAATTGGATATTGGCCACTGCTTGTAACGGCATCGATTACGTCCCCAACTTGGTAATCCACAAATCCGCCAAGGAACAGACGACCTAAATACTCAAGTATTTGCCTGTCGGCAAAGAAACTTCTTAATTAAAATTCAATAGACATGCGCATTAAGCAAATTGGTAATACTTTGTACTTAATTGTACTTGAGTAGCGAAAAATATTTAAATTTATTTTTTTTTTTGTTTTGTGGCTTTTGCTTTGGCTCATTTTAATTTCAATAGCTAAGTACCTACTCGACAGATACAAAAATATTTAAGCATGGCGATGGCTACTTATATGTATTTATTGTATGTTTGTATAAGAATTCAGCTGACAGTGCTATTATTGCAGTTGTTTGCTTGCGGAACACTATTAAAAATGCGGCCATTGACTAGGCTTAAATGTATTCCACCTCATCTGCATACGGAGTGCTAATTAGAGGTAGCTAAATTACAAAATTCATTAAATTTTCGCGTAAAAAAAGAAAAACATAGTAACAATATATATATATCTCAATTGAGTTCCTGATCTGCCGCCTAGCGAACAAGTTCTACGAGTATTAGCAGCATGAGGGAATCACGACACAAAGTAGAAAATCTACAGAAGGTACTAATGATGATTAAGCTGAGTCAAGTTGGAAGCACCTGATCGATGTAACTACGTTACAAATCAGCGACTGAAAATAATACATATGTATGTGTGTATGATTGTACATATGCAGGTATTGCAGTCCACTTGTGTGAGGGATGGAGGTGCTGGCAGCTGAATGACCACGATCATTACACGGAATTTGTCATCTTGCCGCAATTGTTGTATAACATGAAACCGATACATGCTTAAAAATGCCTATATGTTTGTGTAAAAGTAATGTTTATATATCTCGTCGCGCCGCTAGTCCTCGTCTACAATAGCATCACCGCTCCTATAAATTCTCAACCTGTTCTCGTTCACTTGCTCATCCACATTTAGAGATCACGTATGTTGCAGTTAAATAAAAGCAACAATTTACTTATTTTTTTATTGTTTTAAAAATGACTACCGGTGCTACCACTTTTATTATTGCTGTTGGTAAGCTCCTATTTTTGCACTTGTCATCTCGAGAGTGTTTGGATGTGCACATGTACTATATAGTAAGGTATTCGCAGCAGGTATGTATGTGAGTTATATCACAGATGTACATGCATTCATATGTAGTACGTACTATACGTAGATTTGTATCCATCTACGAATATGTGTTTGCATATTTCACTTGCCGCTTGAATGACTAAATTATATTAAGCTTTAATTGCGCCTCCATTGAAATTTTGTAAATTATTGCGAATATTATTATTCAGCACGTTGAAAATTACAGTAATAACAATTTTTATAGCATTCCATGGAGAACACAATAGTAGCAAAACCAAATTAAGCAACATTTCTTGAAAGCTTGATGCACTGAAGATGGGATACAACTTTATCTTTATCATAGAAATGTGGATCAATATATATGTTTGTATGTATGTATGTATATGTATACTAATTTAAGATGAAATGCATAACGATAAAATAATTTTCGTGAGTAAAAAGTCTTGCATAGTCTTGTGTATGCATAAACAGATGTCATTATTAGTTCTATACCGTTGTGCATAAGCTACATATTTAATAGATATCAACACATTTTTTTTTTTGTTTAGCCTTTTTATACACCGTTTTGAGTAAGTTTGTAACCGTTAGTTGCGTGTGCTCTTTTGTGTGTGCCTATGTAAATTTGAGCGCGTAAACTGAAAACGCAGTTGAAATACAAAATCAGGTGGTCAACTAAGAAGGTAAGCGTGCAACGAGTTATGCTTAAAATATGTATAATACATTTGGATTCATATACCAATACATAGAAGGTATGTAAAAGCGCAGCTGATAAGACAAAATAAAAGAAATAAAAAGAAAAAATGTACAGTTAACCTAGGTCGATTAAAAAAACCGCTCAACTCTTCTTTTTTGGAGTATTTTTCTACATACGATTAATAAAACTGAGGACTGTGGGAAACTAGTCTTCTTTTCTTAGCTGATTTGAAAATAGAAAGGTGATTAATTATATATAGTATTTTTTAATGCCTAATAGCTCTATTCCAAATGGCTCGGGCTTGGTCGCATATTAAAGAGCAAAAAAAAAAAAAAGACTTTCACAAAGTGTTAAATGTACTCGGAAGGTGAGGAACAAAAAAAATTTTCTGTGAATATCAGAGTAGCTGCAGATTGCTTAAGGAAGAACCTACGCACAATGGTATAGAAGCCGTCTAAAAGTAGAACTCGACACCAAAGCCTTTGGGCGTTATGGTTTATGGCCGAATAAAATGCTGAAATCCTATAAAGTGATGGACGCCTAAAAAGCCATTTATGGAGTTCCGCTCTAAGGAACGCGCTAGCTTGCCTTTTTCCCTAGTTTGAGTGTCAGTCAGCTTGATAAGGAAGTCTTTAGAAACGATTAATCTAGATCCTAAGCAAGAACTCCACAGCGCTCACACCGACATATAAACCTTTTAGCTGAATAAAGCTTTGAAACCCTGAAAAGCGCTGAATGCCTTAAAAGTTCTAGATTTGTAAATTAATGCGAACGGTTTTTCAAAACGAAGATAATTTTCATATAGAATATATGAATAGCTGTATGGAGAATATGCGATCTGATCATTAGTGAGCAACAAGATTCAATCTAAAATTTTACTAGACTGTTAGTAAGAATATCTTATCTCTCGAATCTGGAAAGCTTATCTTACAGACCAAAATTCCAGCAGGGTAGGCGCTTAATTTTAGACATACTCGTACGTATATATGTACATACATTATCGAGTAGCACTAACAACAGCATTTTTTACTTTACTTTTATTTCATAGTTTTTCATGTGCCACAAAGTCCATTGCTACTTTTGCGAGACATATTGACCAGTCAAAATGGTTTAAATGTTCGAAACGGATGCACAAATTTTTTTTATCTGAAATAGTTTAGACTTTTGGACTACAACAATTTTAGAGAATCATATGAAGTTAGCAAGCGCGCAAAAAGCCCCAGAGCAATTAGTACGCTTACAGATAACTAAAATAGACACATTTCAAAGTACGAAAGTTGCTGCGATAAATTGGACGCGGCACACTTATTTTGACCATAACAAAATAGCTGCCAGAAACGGGGGAAAAAATAAAACAAAAAACACTTTGAACTATGCAACAAAATGGAAATTGAGAACTAAAATCCCATTTTTTGTAGATTACTGAGAATAAAAAGCACTTGCCGCGCATGTTAGGTCATTGGCTTCGAGTGGGCACTTTGCTGACGACAGTTGAATATTTAAGTCAACGAAAAAAAAAACAAAAAAATAAAATAAAAAATGTAACAAAAAGTCACAGCAAAAAGCACAAGTAATCCGATCCGAACTCCACGAAATTTACATGAGCTTGCATTGATTGGTGGCACTGACCGTTCATTGTACGGTGTCAGACGACACACAGCTGCATACATACTTGGTTTACCTATGCACTAAGCCATTTAGTGTGCACTAACTGGACAAATGACGCTAATCACAACGACAATGGCTCGTCAAGAAGTTGAAACAGCTGTTGACTGCTGCTGTCCGGCATTAGCTGTAGCTCTTATTGTGCCTATAAGGACCATTGATGTCCGATGTGTGCTAATAAAAAACTGTAATCGAAAGCATCAATGCAAGTCAGCATTTGAAGAGCTGAGTGTGGATTTCTTAGTATGAAAAAAATCATCATTGCATAAGGCGGTTTAGAAGTCAACTTGTTCCGCGTTGATAACGATTATTATCAAGGGTAGTGCTTGCTGTACATACATATATGTATGTATATACATTAGGGTCGCCCAGAAATACACAGGAAAGTAAAATTTTTGGAAT